ATGATAAATGAAAATTATCGACCTCATTTTAATTTATCGGCTTTATCATTTCTTCGTGTCTCTCTCTTTCTACTGAAGACACTGGATGACAAAAAGCTCATCTCCAGTGCTCTTCACTGACCCCTCCCTTTCTCTCTCTTTTCTCCTTAAACCATCCAAAATTGTGTTTTTGGATCATTAAAAGCAGCTAAGCTGAGAAGCTAAGCTAACAGGCTGACCTCGGGGAAAAAACCTCCGCCTTGTCGAAGCTCCAAAATTTACAGTTGAAACCCGTGACTTCATGTAAAATGTCGTTTTTCTTTAAAAAAAAAAAAAAAGAAGCTGAGAACTTTTTTACTTATTTTTTAAAATTTCTTTTTAAAAGCTTTGTATGACAAATGCTATGCTAAAAAGCTCAAACCACACCGAGCGTCCACCATTTTGAGAACCGAAAAATAGGAACGAGACAGCCCATGTCACGTCAAGGGGCCTCCTTCCCATATTTCTTAGAGACAAGCTGCTTGCTCCCTCACTAGCTATCCTTCGGTTCAAACAATCTTATACTGCCATCTAGTGGTCAAAAAAAGGCACTACACACAAAAATTAACCACCATTTATTCTTCAATTTGACAATTACTAATTATTGTCAAATTTCAAACAATATTATCGTTTTTTGCAAGAATTTCTGAGACAATTAATCGCCCAGCAAAATTTGTTATCGTGACAGGCCTAACTTGTACTACTATTCCTACTTCGTGGTTTTTCATTTAACGCGAGGGAACTGAGAATGGGAATCCCCGCGAAAAACGAGGGGCTACTGTACTCTAAGAATATATGATTGCATACCATTGTACTGAAATATACAATGGAGAGAGACGACGTAAATGAGACTACCAATAGGAAATCAAGCCATGGATAATGCTCTCAATGCAAAACTAATTTTACAGTACCTAGATCTGCACGACTTTTCATGCAAGTACTGAGAAAAAGAGAGATGTTAGATGTAATAAGGAAAGAGCATAGAAATCTGAAGACTTTTCATGCCTGGCATTAATAAGTGTCCCATCTGATCCAATCACAAGTGCACAGATCTAATTGTCTAAATTCACACATGATATTAAAATTTAAAAAATCAGTCTCTATTTGGGTTAAAAATGGCGTTTTGTGATCATATCTAACTTCCCAGCTTTATAAAGAGCCAGAGTCCTGCAGGTTTTTAATTTTATAATTCTGGAGCATTATAGCTAAGTACTACTTAATTTGATTTATGACAAACGATTAACAAAGTCTGCCAATTTTAAGTGTTTTTTTATTATTATTATTATTATTATTTTATTAGTACAGAACCTGATGCATGACTCTGCAAAATATATTATGTTGATTTGATGGAAGCAGGTTGGTTGGGCTTTTTATGATCACACTTTTAAAATAATGTGTCTTAAGCTCCCCAAACCACCTCATTCTCATCCACTTCTGTACTGAGGGCTGTTCACTTATAATTAAATCACTAAGAACACTGTTAATGCCAATGTGAGAACGACACCTAATATGATAACATGAGTGGTCATGGAGGCGGCTGTGATTCCCATAAGTAGATTTTTGTGACAATTGTGATATAAATTTTAAAGGAAAACTGTAATATTCTGAGGTTTTGGTCTTTATGTTCCAATAGTAGTGGCAGGTATGTAGCTTAAAAACATTGTAAAAATAGGTAATAGGTTGAGTATGCAAAACTGACATATGAACATTACAAAATAAAGAAAGAAAGCTTTAAACTTTTTGAGTTGATGGGAAATTATCCAATTATATTCATATGAATGTGTCTAACAAACATAACCTAATAAACCAAAACTCCAAATATTTCAGAATCCGTTTAGTGTGAATAGGGTTATTTTTGTTGTGAGGCAAAATGGAGAACGGGGATTCATTAAACCACCTGCAGGGTTTCTGGAGCGGACCCAGGGCTGGATCCCCAGGGGGCACTACAGCCCATGGTGTGCACCCACGAGTTGGAGCGGTCTAAGCCCTAGGGGTGCCAAGATCAAAGGACACAAGGCAGGCAGGAAGCAAGGGAACAAGCGAGCAGCATTGGGGTAAGGAGGGAAGGAATAATGACAAGTTAAAGAGGTTCAAAAGTCATGAATGCTAGGAAATGCCATGCCCCAAAAACATTATCTGTCAGTAAATTAAAATTAAAATTATCACCACACAGTTCTTAAACTCTCTCTATTCCTTTTCCACTGTATGTAAAAAATCCCCCTCTTTAGGAGACAAGAAAAGAAAGGTTTAGTTAAGCATTAGCAGAAAGGGGAACAATTACAGGAATGGGGCTGCATCCATCATAAAATAGTTACAAGTAAAGCAAGGCCATTAGAAAGACACATCACATCATTCACTCACTGCTCATGTGCTTTCTGAATCAAACAATAATTTTAAGGGGGAAATCACAAATTATACAAGACAAAAATATATCACAACAGATAAATGAAATAAAAACAAACCATAAAATGAGCTTATGCTCATGTTATTCCCAAAAAAAGGACACTTTGCCCGTATTTCTTTTCACCGCTTTTCTATAAGGAAATGCGTATGTCTTTTATAAAATGCACACATTGAGCATTGTTTGTGCCTCTGTGAGTGACAGGTTCATGTTAGAGGTTACAACGATAAGATGTTCAGGCTCGTGTTGACGCACTGGCTATACAGTTCACATGTTGATAAACACTTGTTTAGATCATGGAGAACATGGAGGGTTTTATTTTATGTAGGTCAAGAATAATACATTTTTAAGTACCTTTTTTCCAATTAGACTAAAATACTTCACAGATCAATAAGAGTTGCTTGATCACATCAACGGTGAATAGTTATCTTTGGTATCTGACACCTACTTGTGTTGTGGACAAGCCAAATAATGGCTAGGGTTAGATAGCCATAAAGAATGTATTTGTTGCTGGTTTTGTCCACATGTAACATTTTTGAGTGTGGGTGCCTCTTGTTTCCCCTCAAAATGTGCTAGCCTCATAGTACTGACATGAAAAAATACTTTTCTTTGACCATCTTACCTTGCTGCCAATGATGGAACGAACTTCATCGTCAGGAGACGTGGGCGTACCGGAAATGTCTGGGTTACTGTTACTAAGGCTGCGGGAGCGACTGAGGTTGAGGCTCGCAGGTCGAACAGCTGAGCGAGCCATGGTGGCGTAGTGAACTGAACCTCCCAACCCTCCAGGACCTGGGACAACAAACAAAGACAAAATGGATGAGTTACTTGGGGTGTCGAGGTTTGTACCACTCTACCTAACTATTTAGTTGCGAGTCTGCAGCGTCAAAACCAGTTATTCATCAACGTTTACTGCACTGGAAGGTTTTGAATTACCGTAGTAAACCAAAGCCAAACATGAAATGATCTGTCTTATCTGAAGAGACAGCTGTAATTTACATTAAAAAATGCAGAGTATAATGTAATGTAGTGGGACATATGTACCTGTTAGGGATGAGTTGGGGTCTGTGTTGGGCAGGCATAAGATCAAATGAATACGAGAGGAAAACAGGCAAAAGTTAAAATAAAAATGGAAAAAAATATGGCAGACTGGTGTAGTAACAGACAAGCAGTGAGAGTGAGCTGGGAAATGGATGCAATTAACAGAAAAGGTAAAGACAAAAAAAAGGCAGAAGAAGAATGAAGAACTGTGGAACATTATTGGTATTCTTGGTGTTATACCTGGTGATGGTGAGTTGGGGTCGGTGCTGGGCAAGCGGAAAATATAGTGAATGTAAGAAGACAGCAGGCTGTTGCGGCCGTGCATATCTTGGCTGGTGTCCAGGTATTTATGAAGCCGGTTCACAACCGAAGCCATGACCTCGAAGGATGCTTGACCAAGATTCACTAAAACACACAGACAAGGAAATTATGATGTGCAACTATTGAGTGCACGACACACGGATGCTCCAAATATCAGGTTCACTGTCCTCTCTCATTTTGAGTTAATGCAATCAAAAATCTTACCGATCTGTCCAGCAATGACCGGTGGCCGAACTACAAGCAGGACCAACTTGTCGAGTAAAAGATGAAGGAATCGAACCACCGGCTCAAGCTGGGCCGAGGTGAGCGCCGCAATGCTGGACTTGAGCTCGGCCTCCAGGTTGTTCTCCATGATCCGCATGTCTCCTATCCTGACAGGAAACACGTGCTCGTCCAGAGCATGTACCAGGGCAAAGAACTTATCCAAGTACTGGTCCTAAAAAGAGAGATATATTTGAACAAAAGGGAAGAAAGAAAAAATAAAAATAAATAAATAAATAAATAAATAAAAAAAAAAAAAAAAAAAAAAAAAAATATATATATATATATATATATATATATATATATATATATATATATATAAATAGGACAAATTTATATGTAAAGGTATGCATGAACAAAATAAATGAAGAAAAAAAAACACGAAAGTTAGAGAAACCAAACTTAAATAAAACACAAATTTGTTAAAGTTGGAGAAAAGTGAAAAAGAAAAGTGAGAAAGAACTCAAAAAGCATAAACGAATGTTCGACCCGCTCATCTGTACTCGTCTCCAAGTTGGCAGGTTGGCTCACTGAGTAAAGACCGCAAAACGAACATTACCACAAGAACACAGGAGAATCCAGTAAATCTAATCTGTCTCAAGAACAGTGATTTATGAGCACATTAGTCCCAGTTAGGCTCCTAGGACCCACAGTCAAGTCCTCCACACAGAGGCCAAAACAGAGATGGAGTAGAGCTCAGAAAATTACCGACAAGGTACGATTCACCCACTAACGAACTATAGCTGAGAGGAACTTACTGCTTTAAAGTGAATAAACTTGACTATTTCTCTCAACTTTTATAAAAATTACTACTACTACTAAATTACCATGAATATGATGATTCTGCAGGATACTCATTGGCAACAAGCATTAAAAATGTAACAATTTTTATTAACTTTGAGAAATTTAGTTTTAGAAATTAAGGCTGATTTTTACTGAAATGTATACGCATGATAACAAGAGAGCATAAGCCGTAGAAAGTTTTGACATAAAACACGGTAAAGCATTGTGAAGAAGCTTCTTGGAATAATATTACCATATTTTTTGGCCTATAAGTCGCGTTTTTTTGCATAATTTGCATGCCCTGTGACTTATACGCCAAAGCAACTTATTTCTGATTTTTTCCCCATATTTATAAACCAATTTTTGGCTGAGATATGACCGTTTTCATTCACTCTGACTGAAAACATTGAACACTACCATTTTAAGCCGTTAGAGAGCACTCGAGTTATATGGCATGTCATTGTGTCATGTAATAGATAAAAGTGGCTACTGCCACCTTCGTCCAGCTCGCCTGCAGCAACCGTCAAATTAGCTTCATTTCGCTGCGCCGCCCCGACGAAATGCAGCTAATTTGATCATTGAAGTGCATTTATTAAGTAAAGGTTCAACTGAGACACACCTTTACTATAAAGTCGACCTAACAAATAATTGTTTTTAGGTGGTTATCTACTTAAATTTTGAAGACATGCACAGTGTGTCCTCCTGTGCACGCTCCCACTTCCGCGTATCGGCTTTTGAAATACAGCTGACTTGACCATCAAAGTGCATTTATTAAGGAAAAGTTAAACTGAGACACACCTTTGGTATAATTTCGAGAAAACAAATAAACGTTTTTAAGTGTTAATCTTGTTAAATTATTGTTAAAGTCCTTCCGTGCACACTCCCGTGGCTGCCATTTGGCAGCCAATCGATTTTTGGCACAACACCGGCTCACATTTCCAGGTTGCCAGCAGTGACATGTAAAAAACGCAACGCGTCAGAAGTGACGCATAATAGATGCAACTTATGCAGCAGAGCGACATATTTATGGATTTTTCCACTTTATTAGACATATTTGGATTGATGCGACTTATAGAGTGGTGTGAGTTGTACGGTGGAAAATACGGTACCTGAGTGTGGATGGTTGAAACAGCCACCAGTTCCACGTTGAAAACACCTCGATGGTTGTCTACCCACTTCATTCCTGGTAGAGGAACCTAAAATACCAACAACAAAAAAAAGAAGTCAAATCTGTACTTCACTAGTCAAATAGAAACAAACAGGGACAGTAAAGAGTCCAGACAAGATGTTTGATCTGCTTATTGGGACCATGTGTGAAAGCTGGTTGAAAGGAAAAGTTCTTACATCTGGGGAGAGAACGGAGTACGATTGAGGCGGCTTCTCAAGAGACACGGGCAGACAGAAGTGTCCTGTTCGCAGACGTCCATTCTGCAACATCGGAATCCACTACAGAAGAAAAAACACAATTAATGAAAAACAAATTAAAGACCAAACATATGGGTTATAACTTTCTGTTGATATGAGTACCTTAAATTTATGCTTTTGTCAGAACTAGAGAGAACACAAATACAAACAGAGAACGGGGGACTGTATTATCATGCTTTTTTGTGTACCGTGTATCCCACAGGGGTCTCCAGTGGTGTGTTCTGCTTCTGCTGGCAGCTGACGTGGTAAAATGTGAAGAGAATGTGGTGGTGGTCTGACAGAGAGGCAGGCAGCTTGATCTTGATCTCGTCATGAAAGTCAGGGGATCTGCAGCAATTAGAAACACCATGTAAGAACTTCTAAATGTGATGTGATTACCATTATGCATAAAACAAACCCAAACAAAATTAAATAAATAAATCAGAGATAGAGAATATCCACTTTCCCTGACACAGCATTGACAACAGGTTAGGATTTGTGCAATAAACGCCTTAATATGGATCAATACAACCAACAGCTTTCTGGTCTGCAAAGTTTGTTACTGAAAAAAGACAAGTGGGTCAAAAATATTCACAGCCTCCTCCTTGTTTCTCCCTCAAAAAGGTGCCATTTATTATAAATAAATGATAATAAGGTTTAAATTAGATGGCCAAACAGGGTATATACAAACTGGATTCCAAAAAAGTTGGGACACTAAACAAATTGTGAATAAAAACTGAATGCAATGATGTGGAGGAGCCAACATCTAATATTTTATTCAGAATAGAACACAAATCACAGATCAAAAGTTTAAACTGAGAGAATGTATCATTTTAAGGGAAAAATCTGTTGTTTCCAAATTTCATGGCATCAACAAATCCCCAAAAAGTTGGGACAAGTCCATTTTTACCACTGTGTGGCATCCCCTTCTTCTTACAACACTCAACAGACGTCTGGGGACAGAGGAGACCAGTTTCTCAAGTTTAGAAATAGGAATGCTCTCCCATACCATACCAATTTACCATACCAATTTATTTATAAAGCACTTTAAACAGTGACAAAGCACACCAAAGTGCTTTACAGGGACAAACAGAACAAGCACACAGCAACAGATTACATAACAGGACACCAAAAAGTAGAAACCAACAAAAACAATAATGGATAACAAAAACAACCGCAACATGACCAACACAGTGTGATGCACACAGACTCAGCACAGATCACACAGTGCTGAAAGCCAGGGAATAAAAGTGTGTTTTTAAGCGAGATTTAAAAGCTGTGAGGGAGGGGGCCTGTCTAACGAGCAGAGGTAACTCATTCCAAAGACTTGGGCCTGCTACAGAGAAGGCCCTGTCACCTCTGCACTTGAGACGGGTTCCTGGGACTGTTAGGAGCAACTGGTCTGCTGATCTGAGAGAACGTGGTGGGACATACGGCTGGAGCAGATCAGTAAGATAGGAGGGGGCAGAGCTGTTTAGTGATTTATAGACATACAAGAGTATTCTGAATTTGATTCGAAGGTGAACCGGAAGCCAGTGTAGGGAGGCCAAAACAGGTGTAATGTGCTCTCTTTTGCTTGTGCTGGTCAAAATTCATGTCTAATACAGGCCTCTAACTGTTCAATCGTCTTGGGCCTTCTTTGTCGCACCTTCCTCTTTATGATGCGCCAAATGTTCTCTATAGGTGAAAGATCTGGACTGCAGGCTGGCCATTTCAGTACCCGGATCCTTCTCCTGTGTAGCCATGATGTTGTGATTTCTGCAGAATGTGGTCTGGCATTATCGTGTTGAAAAATGCAGGGTCTTCCCTGAAAGAGATGACGTCTAGATGGGAGCATATGTTGTTCTAGAACCTGAACATAGTTCTCTGCATTAATGGTGCCTTTCCAGACATGCAAGCTGCCCATGCCACAAGCGCTCATGCAACCCCATACCATCAGTGATGCAGGCTTCTGAACGGAGCGTTGATAACAACTTGGGCTATCCTTGTCCTCTCTGGTCCGGATGACGTGGCGTCCCAGTGTTCCATAAAGAACTTCAAATCGTGACTCATCTGACCACAGAACAGTCTTCCATTTTGCCACACTCCATTTTAAATGACCCCTGGCCCAGTACAAACATCTGAGCTTGTGGAGCTTGCTTAGAAATGGCTTCCTCTTTGCACTGTAGAGTTTCAGCTGGCAACGGCGGATGGCACGGTGGATTGTGTTCACTGACAATGCTTTCTGGAAGTATTCCTGAGCCCATTCTGTTATTTCCTTGACAGTGGCATTCCTGTTTGAGGTGCAGTGACGTTTAAGGGCCCGGAGATCACGAGCATCCAGTAGAGTTTTACGGCCTTGACCCTTACGCACAGCAATTGTTCCAGATTCTCTGAATCTTTTGATGATGTTATGCACGGTTGATGATGATAACTTAAAAGTCTTTGCTATTTTACGCTGGGTAACACCATTCTGGTATTGCTGCACTATCTTTCTGCGCAACAATGGTGGAATTGGTGATCCTCTTACCATCTTGGCTTCTGAGAGACACTGACACTCTGAGAAGCTCTTTTTATACCCAATCATGTTGTCAATTGACCTAATTAGGGTTAATTGGTCTTCCAGCTGTTCGTTATATGCTCAATTTCCTTTTTCCAGCCACTTATTGCTACTTGTCCCAACTGCCTTTTCTGTCGAAAATTTTGGAGAAAGTTGTTTTTAATCAACTTAAGAGGTTTTTAACTGCCAACAGCATTGGTGAAAAATTCCAGTCAGGTTTTAAATCAGGCCACAGCACAGAGACAGCCCTTTTAAGAGTTTTTAATGACCTTCTTTTAACTGTTGATGCAGGAAGCTCTGCTGTTTTAGTGCTTTTAGACCTTTCTGCTGCCTTTGATACTGTGGACCACAACATCTTGTTGTCACGACTGGAGCAGGTGGTTGGTATCAAAGGCACAGTTCTATCCTGGTTTAGATCCTACCTGACTGACAGGAGTTTTTCTGTTCATTTAGGGAAATGCTCTTCATCTCCAGCTCCTCTGATCTGTGGGGTCCCTCAAGGGTCTATTTTAGGTCCATTGCTTTTTAATCTTTACATGTTGCCTTTGGGGTCCATTTTAAAAAAACACAACATCCCTTTTCACTGCTTTGCTGATGATACTCAGTTATATCTTCCGATTGAGTCAGACAGGGTCACTTCACTGGATCCACTCTTGAACTGTCTAAATGACATTAAAGTCTGGTTAAAACTAAATTTTCTGAATCTAAATGAAAATAAAACGGAAGTCATCAGCTTTGGTAAATGTAATACCCTTAATGTGCTTGGCCCCTTGGCTTCATACAGCAACTCCAATGTCAGGAATCTGGGAGTTATTTTTGACAGTGCTTTTAAATTTGATAAACAGATAAATACAGTTGTGAAATCCAGTTTCTTCCAGCTAAGACTCATTGCCAAGGTGAAGTCTTGTCTCCCTTTCAGAGACCTTGAAAAGGTGATTCACGCTTTTATCACATCTCGTTTGGACTATTGTAATTCATTGTATGTTGGTTTAGACAAATCATCTTTGCATCGTTTACAATGTGTCCAGAACGCAGCAGCCCGTCTTTTAACAGCAACTAAAAAACATGAACACATAACCCCTGTCCTGGCTTCTCTCCACTGGCTTCCTGTCCACTTCCGAATTGATTTTAAGATTTTATTGCTTGTTTTTAAAGTCTTAAAAGGTCTGGCCCCGTCATATTTATGTGATCTCATTAACATTTACACTCCAGTAAGAGCACTCCGGTCTACCAACCAGTTCCTCTTAGATGTCCCCAGATCCAAACTGAAATCCAGAGGTGATCGGGCTTTTGCGGTTGCTGCTCCAAAACTGTGGAACAGTTTACCTGAGAATTTAAAGACCGCTCAGACTGTTGAGACTTTTAAATCTTTGCTCAAGACTCATCTGTATTCCTTGGCATTTCATCCACGCAGAGTCTGAGAACAAGTTGAGCTGATTTTATTGTTGTTGTGTTTTTACTGTTAACTTATGTTTTTGAGTGGCACTAGATGCAGTTTTACTCTTTTTTATTTTATTTTAATCTGTCTTAACTGTAAAGCACTTTGGTCAGCTTTTGTTGTTTTTATGTGCTATATAAATAAATTGACATTGACATTGACATTGACATTTTTTGTGATTTGTTGACACTGTGAAATTTTGAATCAACATATTTTTCCTTTTAAAATGTTACATTTACTCAGATTAAACTTTTGATCTGTCATCTATGTTATATTACGAATAAAATATTGACATTTGCCATCTCCACATCATTGCATTCAGTTTTTATTCACAATTTGGTTAGTGTCCCAACGTTTTTGGAATCCGGTTTGTACAAGCAAAAGTAAATTAGATGAGCACATATTTCACTTTCATTTATTTGTTTATAACTTAAAAATAGTTAGCTCAAGACAGCGAAAGAATTATTTAAGTTACCAAACGGATAAAAAAAAAAAGAATCAAATTACATAACAAGCTATAATTTATTCCTGGTAAATTCTTTCAAATCCCAGAGGAGACATTCCCTGCAGGCTGACACAGAAATAAACAAGCCACATCTATAAAAGGCACATGAACAAAACCACTAGAATTGACCAAAAACAGTTTAAAAGAGGTCATAGCAGGGCCCTCAGTTCTCATGGAAACAATTAGTTTTGAAACTAAACAAGAAATATCCTGAAAGAGGAACAACACCATGAGCAATTTGTAAGACTGTGGAAAAATAAATTGGGCTACTGAGCCAAAATTGGGCCGCTGGTTCAGAAACAACCACTGTGATGGAAACTTTCCAGATTTTCAAACAATCTATTAAAACCCCAAAAAATCACCCTGAAATGAAAACTATTTTACTTCTTTTACCTGACTGAATTTCAGTGTCAGTTAAACCAAAAGCCAATTAGGACAATTAGCAACAAAGGATTGTTTCTACAGTTGGCTTTTTATCTTAACCTAAAAAAAGCTAAAACACTCACCTGTTGTGGTATACCACTGCAGTGTAGGCCTCTTTATAGAAATCAGCACAGCTTGACTTCCCAAAAATAACCTGAATAATATAAAATAAATTAAGTTACAACTACCCTCACCTAACATGTAAAAAGTTCTGCAGACCAGTGCAAATTAGTACTGCACATTTCAATTACTGTCCAAAATCATAAAATGGCAAAAGCCCAAATCAGGCAATAATGCCAGCTATTACACATGCACAATGACCGCCTTGACTGGCATGTATTGTGTGAGGTAATGGCGCCCACCTGCATTGCGTTGTTGGGATCTTCTCCATTCATAAATTGCACTTTGACTGTGATGTTGCGTGCAGAACCTTGGCGGTTGGCGAAGTTAAGACTCTGGGGGTTCACATACAGCAGATTCCTGAAAGACAATATTTAAACTCGACTGGTTAGAAAATATATCACAGTGTATGGACATTTTTCAATACAAATTAACGCAGAATGTATAATTTATTGTAATATGTGCATTCTGTTATGTAAATTTGAAAAAAAAAAATCCACACTTCCTCCACTAAAGCAGGTCTAGTAGATCAAATACACAAAAGTGCAATAAAGGACAAATAAAGCACAAGATACCTTAATGGCAACTAATATTTATTTTTCTACTAGGCGACAGATTCTATGGCCTTTAACAATATTTTTATAATAAATGTCTTTGAGAGTGCTTGACCTAGTTACCTGACCAAGTTGCATCAGATTTTATGAATTGATCAGGGAAAGTCCACATTAGGTAAACCAGCTCTGACTGGTGACTGCAGGAGGCTTGGCCCACTGATTTTTATTTTTTTTAAACGGGGCACTGCCTCTATAAAAAAGAAGGATGATCATTATAATAGCTTTGAATAATCTGCAAGTGTACAACAGAGAATATTACAGTAAAGCTCTGCTGGATTTTTCAATTATTGGACCACAGGAAAAAAAAAAACATAATAAGTTCACACTTGTCAAGCATATGTAAGCACAGGCCATGTCTTACCAAAAAAAAACTATGAACGTTAGCAGCATTTTAAGCCTAATTTCCACTACTTTTACCAGTATTCTCATCAAACGCAGTATTACTTTAGTCATGCATAATGGTTACAAAACTGTTGGAGAGAAAGAGGCTCAGCTGACAAACCGCAATGACGCTGTTGATTCAGTGGGGGATGGACCCACAGAGACAACAGCTGAAACCACAACTAAGAAGAAAGCGTGGGAATCATTTAAATCTTCCTTACTCTTCTATCCTGTTAACATCCATGCAACATATACACAAAAAACTTCCATGGCTGCTTTGAAGTAGGCTGCTGAACTTGAACTGCAATAAACCCGGAGATAACTTTACCAAAGCAAAGCTAAAATATCAATGAGAGCAAACTGGAACAGTCAATGGTCAGTTTGTGTCTTCTGATTCAACTTGGGTTAATCAGTAGACACGAGAAAGCAAACTTAATAATGCAAACTTTGCAACTTTCATTGTTCTTTCAGTTAGCAGCAGCAAAAATAAGTTATTTACCAACAGTGAATGGAGAGTACCGTATACTTCCTCGCCACTAGGTGAGAAGCTAAAGTAATTCACTAATGCAAAAGAGGGACTAACAGCCAATAGTAATTATTTCAAAAACACTGATGACAAAGTTTATTTAAAAATGACTTCCAATGCAATCTGGGCACATCTACCAAGGGGGGAAATATAGTGGACAAGTTTTAAATTATGTTTTGTTTTTGCTTTCTTTTGGTCTTTCTTAAAAGTCTATTAAAAATGCATTCAAGAATAGAATGAACAAACAATGTCATCTCCAATAAAGGATAATAAACTTATAATCTGTTTTGAGCTAATAAAAAACTTCTGGCACATTAATGCTATTCTGGTGCAAATTCTCTTTCTACGTTCTTGTTATTTTTGATTTACATATACATTTTTCTTTACTTAGAAGTGAGGTACGTCAACCTCATAACAATAAATTACAACAAACATATTAAGATCTATCAAGTAAATATGATTTAAACCATTTTATAGCCTGTAACAGCAATAGTAGTGGGAATGGGAAACGTAATAATTTATGTATTAGTTCTTTGTAATAGTTATACATGTTTTTTATCTCCAATACAAATCAGGTCACTAGAGTCCAACAGTTAAACTTTCAGTGCTTCTAAACAATGTCTTTGGTCGCACAACTTCACCTCTGTATACTGCAGGTGTGAGGTATTTCTTTCCCCACTTTCTCCATCTGCAGACAAGCGATCTTTGAACTGTGGTTACAAAAATCAGCAAACTATATATGTAGAAAAAAGCATTGTTGAAACTCTAACGTAACAATTGTTCAAAAGTTTAGCTTTTGCACGAATGTGAACCCCCTCTTCCCTTCCCACAAAATGAGACGAGGAGAAATTGCAAGCGAGAACGAGAGCTTGGCCGGGCTGATTCAGCAGGATGCTAAATCAAAGCCACGAACATTAATTACACACAGCATTATTAATCAGAGCAAAGTGTGTGTGGGGTTTTAAGGTTTGGGGTTGATTAGACTGACGATCCATCAAAAACAGTGATGGCCATTGTTGGCTTTCTGCTGATCAGCTAAAGTGCACCACACATGGAGAGTAGGACAGGTTGTGGTATACAGAAGGGATTGGGGTTAAATGGTTAGAGTAGGGGGGGTGCACATGTCATTTGCACACTACTGTGATTTGTTTGTTTAGATGAGGGAGGGCTGGTTGGGGATTTAGGAGGAGGTGGGACACAAAGCTAAAAGCATAGTAGGGGTTTAATGATCAGCAAATCCTCCCGCCTCTACTGTGAGGGCAGTATTTAACACAGCGCAGCCGGCTGCTCTCCAGTCATTTTACCAGTAGGACTAGCCGATAAAGAGAGCAGGGGAGTAGGGTAGAGTAAAAAAAGAGGAGTGAAAGGAGTGTTGGAAAAATTTCCTTAGTGTAGGATTGGTGGAAGGAAAAATAAGATGAAGCAGATGTTCTTGTTGCTGGTGCTAGCCAGCTCAACGTCTGCATTCCGTCTGGACTTCTCAGGTGGACAGGCGAACCCCACCCTGCCCCCTGAGGCTCTCACGACAGAAACGAGCCCAACTGAATCAAAGTCTCGCTTTGCCATGCTGGATGACGTTCGCCTCCTAGCAAACGGCCTCCTCCAACTCGGCCAGAGTTTACGGGAGTTCGTGCACAAAACCAAAGCCCAAATCAACGACATTTTTCAAAAGCTGAACATTTTCGATCGCTCTTTTTACCAGCTTTCAGTGGTCACTTCAGAAATCAAGGAGGAAGAGGAGGAGCTCAAGAAGACCACCAACATCCTGAAGGCCAACAACGACGAGATAAAAAACTTGTCTTTGGAAATCAACTCTAAAATCAACAACATCCTGCAGGAGCGAACACAACTTCAGAGCAAAGTGGGAAGCCTTGAGGAGAGGCTGAAAGGATTATCGCAGAGTGTGATTCCTGCTGACCAGCTAAGTGAAATCACAACACTTAAGGTGAGAAGCTTGTGATGATACAACTTTAAATGCATTTAATGCACGCAATAGTTCCCATAAAACTGGTTTCTTAAAGACCAAAAAGCAAATCTAAACAAAACTTCTGTCAATTTGTTCATTTTGAAAAATCTCAAAGCTTGCGTTTTGCCTTTTTTTTTTCAAAATAAAAGCATACATGTGTAACATTTATATGTAAAAGCATGCTGCAATCACATTTTTAGGAAGTGATAGAAGCTCAGGAGAAAACTATCAGCAATCTTCTGCAAGCAGTGAAAGAGCAGCACGAACAACTGGACCACCAGAAAGTCAAGATTAAAAACCTGGAGGACAAGGTAGTTGTGGGTGATCTGAATACTTTTTGTCTGTACAAGCCAAAAATCAATGGGAATCTAGTTTAGAACTACCAATAGACTTTAGTGTAGACAAATGTTTTTAAGAGAGTTAAAAACAAAAATTTAAAAAGGGTTTTTTGTCTCCTTGCAGCTCAGCTATGACAATTTTCAAGAAACGGCAGATAAGTCATTGGATTCAGACCATTTAGCTGCTGATGTGTTTGAATATCTCCCAAGAAACTCAACTGGCTTAGATGCAAATGGTAATTCTTTAAAACTGGTCATCAATCGTAATTTTTAGTAAATGAAAAATTGTTTTAAAACTTTTGGTTCGTGTGTGTGTGTGTGTTTCAGACCTTCCTGTAGACTGCAGTGAGTTATTTAACAAAGGTGAAACAAACAGTGGGATCTATGCCATCAAACCAAACCATTCAGAGCCGTTTTACGTTTACTGTGAAATGGGCTCAGGTAAGACAGACGTCAGGAATCTGAGACAGATAGCTTTGACCTAACCACACATTTCCTTAAAAAACTAAATCACTGGAAAAAGTTCAAGTTTGTTAAAAAGTTACATTTATAAATATTTATTAAAGCAAAAGACAACCTATATTGTAAGAATAACATATTAAAATAAAATGTGTGTATTGCAAAACAGTTCAATCTAAACATTTTTTTTTTATTTTTAATCTTCAACAGATGGGGGTTCAATTGTCATTCAGCGCAGGACGGATAGCTCAGTAGATTTTGACCAAACATGGGAAATGTACGAAAAAGGATTTGGAAATCTGGAAAGTGAGTATATTTTACATCTAACTACAGCATGTAAATATTAAAATAGTTTAAAACTGAATCCAACATGACTTGGATAACCTTATTTTTTACTCTTAATATTTTATTACCGATATATTATACATTATATTATCTTGATATGTCTTGATATATCAAATGATCTTGATATGATATTGATAGTATAGGTAACACTAAAACAATTCAAGTTGTTATTTTGCGCCTGGTAATGAACAGAACATGTAGGTGCAACTACAGTATGATCAAATGTGCAAAAATTGGATATCTAATATGGCAAATAACAAAACTCAAATTAACAAACTACTTATTACCAAACTAGGTGCCCAATATTTTTTGATAATTTACTTTAAACATGTCATACGGTACTATGGTAATCAACTTGACCACCACATTTGCAAAGACTGTTTTTGGTAGGGAGTGTATTTTAAAGTATTTTCTGAAATGGTAAAAGTGAAATATCAATGTTGAGGAGACAAAATGACTCCCTTTTTAAACGTAAGCAGCCGCCAGTCAGTTTGGCAGCTGTTTTGCAGAACTTTTTGCATTTCAAAACAATTTCACTTTCAAAAAAGTTCTTTTTATATGAATACAAAAAAGATAAACTCATTGATTTCTGTCTTACACAGAGGACTTCTGGCTGGGCCTGAAGAAAATACACAGTATCACACAACTTAGACGGTACATCCTGCGTATTGATGTGGAAGACTGGAAGGAGGAGAAGCACTGGGCTGAGTACAGCTTTTCAGTCGAAGATCCCTCCAAGGACTACAGCCTTCATGTCAGTCACTTTGCAGGGGATTTGCCTGACGTGATGACCAACATAACCGGCACAAAGTTCTCTACAAAAGACAGGAACAACATCTGCAGCTCCGACTGTGCTCGCAGTTGCACAGGTACACAATCTGAAAAGCAATGGCACTGCCCCTTAACTCTACCACAGCAGTAAACAACAACAAGCATCACAGATAGTTGTGTTGCCTTTAATACAATAAATAAAACTAATTTAGAGGACAAAGTCATCAAGTTGCAACAAAAGTCGTTCAAGCATTGACATTGCTGTTTTCTATGTCTGACAGGTGGCTGGTGGTTCAGTGTCTGCAGCGAAACCAACCTAAATGGGAAGTACTTCTGGTTGAGGGCAAAAGGACGCTCTGTGAGGAGGAAGGGTATTCAATGGAAGCCTGGCACAGGGTCTTTGTACTCCTTCAAAGTGACCAAACTCACCTTACAAACAGCCTCGGCAACAGATAGTGCCAACTGACAACTCAAGTAATAATTAGTAACAAGTAATAATGGCATTTTTAATGGTACACAACATCTAAAATCAGATGAAAGCTTCTATAGAAAGGACAGTGAAATGACGTAAGCTTTAGATATGTCCTCATTTAATTGCAGCTAGAAGCCTGTTTTTTTCTGTCAGCAGGCCAAATGTGTCAAAAGTTGGACTTACAGAGGTGTTGTAACGGTGCAACTATGGCATTTAGGTTTTTAACCTATCGGGTCTGGTCTAGCAAGGGCAGCAGAACTGTCATTATGTAACATCTGCAATCGTTAGCGAAATGCACACATTGATCTACAGTGCAACCTAAATATGCGATGGCTGCAAAATATCCCAAAGCTAAAACAGAAAAGAGTTATTGAAAGATTACAATCTTAAAATAGAGCTCGTGTAATCTAAATATATTTTGCAGCTTCTGCGTCAAGTTGTGATGTGAAAGTGTACTGCATGTTCCCTGAAGCTACAGAAACATTTACCAAGAAGTTATTGCATAATGCAGGCAAATTTTATTTTAAGCTTTGAAAGAAACAATGTTAGTTCTAAAACCAAAAAAAATATATATCTGTGATGTGTGTTTTTTTTTCTGTTTAGGCCTTTTAGATTTCGTTCTTATACTTATTTACACAACTGAGTACAAAGCTAAAAAATAACGTCTCTAAAATAGTGGTAGTGCACTGATGAACTCTTTCTCTCTGGTCTATATTATTATTCTGTAAAGTATTTAAACCAACGTTCATGCTATTTTGATTTATGCTGGTGTTGTTGGACAATTGTTGTCTTTTTGTTTTCTTTGTTACTGAGTCATATTGACTCTTGTCATTGGTACAGCACAGCGAACTAGCTTTTAAATGTGCCTCACACTAATAGTCATGCTTATAAAAAGCTCTGTGTGCTAGCAAATCATATTTAAAATATTAACAATAATAAATCAATTACCGGTATTTAAAACTATCCCAAAAATGGCAAGGTTTTTCATATTGAATATGTTTTTGTATTATGTTAACATTTGTAATGAATCTAATAAATTTTCAAAATTGTTACATAGAAACAAAACTGGAGTGACTTTGCTACAAAGTTTGATTATTTTTTTAATGTGAATCTTAAAATACAAAGAACACTGTTACAACCTGGGCTCCAACCTGCAGCCTCGGGATTACAAGATGGCAGCACCGACCACCGAGCTACCACGGCCCATAAATAAAAAATAATTAACAGAATATGATCTAATCTTAATGCAATACACTGAATTACAAAATAAAATAAATTAGAAGAGCATGAATTTGAATTACTTATAAAAGTACTATTGCTCACATTTTTTTTAACCTAAATAGCATTAATATTTTATTGTCATGTTTAAATATGTATGTAAATTATAATAAGTGAAATTCACAATAATTAGAACCTTTACATTTTATTATTTTCTGATTTAGTGATTGCACACAAGGCTGCTGTGTTCACATTTAGGTGGGGCGTTCTGCTGGTCATTGAATGTGGTTAATCAGACATTGAGCCTATTATCAAATAATCCACCACTAAGAAGAGATCTACAGTAATTACCTGCAGACAACCAAAGCTTATGGTGGTGGTGGTGGGGGGGTCAGCTGCTGTCTGGTAGCATTTCTCTCTCAGTCACCTTGACAAAAATAGACCCTATTCAAGTGAACAACGTGCACTAAGCACACAGATCGAATCTGCTGGTGTATGCAAGTGTTGACTGTTAGTGTGGGCAGAGTCCTGGCAGTCATGACCTGCACCCAGTGACAGATATGGGATAAACAATAATTAACCACAGTTTCAGTCACCAATGTAAAAAGTTGTAAGTTTGAGAGTGATCATGTGTCTTACTGAAGTATTTTTATTTAGTTTTGTTCAAGGAAAATGTGCCAATAATTGCCTCACTTTGAGAAGAAGATGATAAAATAAGTGAAATGAAAATTCATACTAGAACTCATTTGCTGTACCTGTACGTGGTGTTTGGCACATAGACGTCCCTGGCAGGAAATTCCAGGATCTCTCTGGTGGGGCGCACTCTACTGTCTGGATAAGGTTTAACCTGCTGGAGGTCAGGAGTCAGGCAATAATGGGGGTTCTCCGGAGCTGGAGAAATGTCCAACTTTAACTGAGCTACAATGATCGCAGGGGATGAGAATGGAAGAAAAACAAAGGAACCATTAAACAGAATCCTGTATAAAAGTAATAAAGCAGATTTATTCAAGTCTTATTTGAACCTGTGATAGGTCTGAGTCTCCTCAGCACTGAAGAAGGTCTTCTCATATCAGCTAGAAACTTATACAAATCTTCATCACTGAGCCTATCCCCCTCCTAAAAACACATTAAAAAAATACATTTTCAAAAGAAAGCATGTCAACAAATGTAAGTTAACCCATTTATTCATACATGTACACACTTGTTTGAAGAAGTTGGTGATAGTAAGTGTTGCAGGCCTGAAACCTGTGAGACTACAGGCTTCATCTCCACTAGTGGTCCTTTCTAGGGAACGTCTTCCCATGATGCTTGAGTTCCTCCGTTCTGACCAAGAGCCTTTTCGTTCTGCGAACAACAAGCAATAAAAGAGTCATTCAAAATGTTTAAACCATTTAACTTTACAAAGTCTCTAATCTGCTTATCAACAAAAAACAGATACCAAAGTCAAACCTTTTGAGGTCTAAGGCTAAACAAACAACTCACAGTAACCCGCCAGAGATCAATATATATCGGCACGCTTTGAACGCTTTTTTGTCCTCCTTCTTTTTGAATTTGCCTTCTCCCTATTTGTTGTTGGAAAGCTTTTGAAGATAAAGATTTTAAAGGGTGGTACTTTATTGACAGGTGCATGAGCCACATGCATGACTGGAAGGCTTACTGATGCTCTATGTACCCAGATAAAAACATGTGGCTGCAAGTTAGATTAAAATCTATAGGTATTTAAAAAAAAAAAAAAAAGCAAAGCTTCATTTTTTTACATTATAACTAACAATTGCTGCACAATGAGACGCATGTTCTTTGTTTTAATCTATATCAAATGTTAAAAAGAAGATCACACCTGAGAGGCTCATCTCCAGCTCCGTGTCTCTCTCCAGGCTGCCAGCGCTGTTTACAATGTTCATTAAATGGATGGCCGTCCACGCAAAGGGCATTCGGTATCGGCCCAGACGCTGGCAGAACTGCTCTGATTGACTTCGAAGCTTCTCCAGCTTCTCCTTATTCTAATGGGAAAATAAATGGTAATTACAGTTTACAGAAATCCTATATGCCACTACTGTACTTACTATTTATCCCTTTAAAATACTATAGGGATGATAAAATATGTAGTGCATGCTCAAGTCAATTAGACTATTATTAGACTCAAGTAAAACAAACTTATACAAGGCCTAATTCACACTGATCATACCTTGGCAGCATCAGACTCTTTGAAGACCATGTAAGGTTCTGCACATTCTCCTATATCTCCTTGCTGCAGTACCTTTTCTAGCTGTGGACAAATACATTTAAATATTTTTATAACTAGGCTCGCACACAACAAGGAGGTAATCAAACAGCACAAAATAAATGTTTTTTTTTTTAATTATCATTTAAACTTTGATGAAAAATAGTTATTTTTAACCTAAATTTGGAAAAATTGAAGTATTGTTGAATTAAAAGACTAGTCGAAATTATTTAGAATTCTAGGAACATGATTTCTTCTCAACAGAGTAATTTTTTAAGTTAATGTACAAATCCAATAAAAGTTCAATCTGGTCCTCTGGACATTCAAAAAACAAGAAAAACAAAAAATTTTTGAATGTCCAGAGGACCATATTGAACTTTTTTTGGATTTTTCTACCTGGATTACTGAGCATGTATCAGGATATTAATGTACAAATGTTTATCTTGTGTTGTTGTTTTTTTGCTCATAAGAAAATACTGAAACAGAGTGTGAGAAAACAATGTGTTAAATATATGTAGAATAATATCCTGTTACATTACTATAGGTTAATTTACAAAATATTTTCTCCACTTCTAAGATAACCATCTTGAAATTTCAGACCTAACATTTAGTCCCCGAGTTTTAAATGCATTTTAAAATATTTTATTTCTTGATAAGACAAAAAAAAAAAAAGTAGTAAAACTGCTTCACCTTGATGACTAGGAAGATATCCTGGGAGGGGTAGGTGATGGAGAAAATGGCAGAGCGTGCCAGCGTGGAAATAGCTGCTGTCTGAATGTGCGGACGTAACATTGCTTTCGTCTGCTCAGAGTTTAGATCAAAGAAGAAATTTTCTGATATCTGGCAACACAAAAAGCAGATGAACAGGTAATTATGTATCCTAACATTGCTCACAGACATGACACATTGAAGAGAAACGAGCCCCAGTGACTGAATGAAGCTGCACAGCAACTACTTTTCATAGCAACTGCTTCCCTCTAGTGTTTGTTCCTGTAGCTAAAACAAAATGGGCTTGATCACATAGACAGTTTCAGTGTATGATTTAACTTTATTTTTCAAAAAAAATAACAGATTCACTGCATGAAATTTTATAGTCCAACCATGAGCTCTGTTTTGGATTCCCAGCAGTTTGCGGAAGTGATCACACAACTCAGGGCCAGAGAGACACTGAGGAAAGCATAACAGCTTACCTTTTTCTTTTCCTTGACATCGTATAAGGCCAAGCTAGCAAATATGGGTTCTATTTCGATCTCAAACCTTCAAAACAGACAGAAAAACGAGTGAGTCAGCAAAAAGCAGCAGTAAAATAAAAGAACTGTACTGCTTTTATTTTCCTGAGAAAGATTGCCCACCACTTACTTCAAGGACAAGCACTTGACGAGCAGCCTCTGGCCAAAGTGCTCTTTGGGTACTTCAGGCACACAGTGGCGCTCAATGGGCTCCTCCTGCACATTCACATAGAAAAATTTGATGAAAATGAGCAAATTACTGATAAAAGAGAGTCAGTTTAAAAAATATAATTATAGGCTTTTTGAATGACGTTGCGCACTAAACTTTTACCAAAGACACGAATAACAAAAATGTATTTGTAAATACCAGAAAACAGTTTGAGGATCAGGAAATGGGCATACTTTACCTCATCGAGGGCAGGGTGGAGAGCAAAGAGTTCACGATGGCGGTTAGTCATACGCTGTTCTTCATTGTGTCGGTCAATCTCCTCATTAGGAGCACGGTCGAGGAGGTGAGGGAGGAGGGCATCAGGCAAGGAGTTCTTCAAGTCAAAGATGCTGCAGGCCCAGCTTCCCCGAGGAGTGTCATCTATAGACATCGACCGCCGCTTCAGATCATCCTAAACAGCGATAATCTCATAAAAACTGTGGTAGAGACTCGTAGTAAAACTTCATACAGTTACATTATCAATCATATATTCTCAAATAGCACTTTTTAATAAGAAAAGTGTGTATTTATATGTCAAGAAGAACAAGCGCAAACATCCGAGCTGCGTCCTGTAACTCCATATTACTCATACACAGGCTGGTACCTGGTCATCCTGGTAGCTGCTGCTATCTGGCATTTCATCAGCTTCGAACACTTGTTTAGGCAGGCCTTTTTGACGCTCCTTTTGTTTATCCAGCGTGTTGGGGTTAAAGCCTGTGCCAAGCTTATGATACCTGCAGGAGTAAGCAGTTATTTTAATAGATAAATAGGTACTGTATGCTAAGCAAAAACCTCTTCAGGTTAGTTGGTAATTAATCAATTGTTCTTCAAATATTCAACCCTCTCTGCTACTAATTCTGCAAACTCGAGATCTTTCTATTCCTTTGTTTTCACCAGCCCAGTTTGTGAATGTGGATAGACATGCTCACCCGGGCGGGATCATAGTTTATAATCCTTTCAAAATAAACTACGGTACAATAGCAAAAAACAAATACTGGGACACTCCCAGTTGTTTTTAGGAAGATGTTGAAAAAAACAAAAAGTTATTTTTAGACAGAAAAAAATTTCCTTCAGGCCCAGGCCTCCCTTGTAGAAAAGATATGTGATCTCAGTGGGATTTGCCTGGTTAAAAAAAGGTTAATGATTAATAAATATGAAAAGCGCATTTAAGAAACAACTTGATGCGTTTCTAACAAATTCAGGCATGTTCGTTATGTTCAACATAATGGTACTTCATCTAGCTACTTCACGGTCACTAATGGTGCCACAAGGCTCAGTTTTAGGTCCCACTCGTTTTACAATTTATTTAAATAATGTAGGTCAAAAACATTCCTGACGCATCCTTGCATCTCTATGCTGATGACGCTGTTGTTTATTGCCGAGCTAACACAGTCGCCAAGGTTTTCCAGCTTCTACAGTCTGCATTTGACATCATTCAGTCAGACTTATTCCACTTCGAACTGGTGTTAAATGCTGACAAAACCAAAGGGATGTCGTTTTCCAACAGAAGGCTGGTGCCAGCAACTCTTCCTCCTGTATCAACCATGCATGGTGTTCCTATTGAGTGTGTAGATTTTTACAAATACTTGGGAATTTTGGTTGATGCACATCTCTCTTTTAAATCACATATCAAAAACTTGATAAAGAAACTGAAATTAAAACTGGGTTTCTTTTTTAGAAATAGAGCTTGCTTAACTCTGAATGCCAGAAAACGCCTTTTAGCTGCTACCTTCCTACCGGCCTTTGACTATGGTGATATTTACACGAATGCTCCAGCCAGCTCCTTGCAGATGTTGGATGCTGTCTAGCATGGCGCACTAAGATTCATAACTGGCTGTCACTACCGTACCTATCACTGCACTCTGTACTCAATGGTCAGTTGGTCATCATTATCTATATGTAGGCTCTCACACTGGTTCATTTTCATCTATAAATCCCTCCTTGGTCTGCTACCTTCTTATATCTTCTCCCACATGTCACACCATCAGTGCAGTTACAGCGTGCGCTCTTAGCCCATCATTACCTGCAGCGTTCCCTCAGTGCGGACCGAACTCGGCAAAAAGGCATTTTCTTACTCTGCTCCTGCACCTGGAACATCTTGCAACAAGAACTGAAGTTGTCCACTTTAATTTCTTTAGGGGGTTTTAAACATTTGATAAGGGCAACAGAAAAACCAAAGCAAATATGTTCTTGTTTTTAGTATTTTACCTTGTTTTATGGCACCCTGATTTAATGTTTGATACACTACTCTTATTTTAACTGCATTTTTACTGTAGTTTATTGTTACCGTATTGTTTATTTTTATTGTTGTCTGTACTTTATATGTTCTGTCTGGAGTGGCTCAATCAGGCTAGCCTGCATAAATACAGGTTGAATGAATGAAAAATTTTTATAAAAGAAAAATGTGTTAATTCTTTGAAATTACCCCGTTTTAAAAAACTTCAAAATTTTGAAAATCAATTCAATTCAGTTTATGTATATAGCGCAGAGTCATAACAGAAGTCATCTCAGGGCACTGAACAGAAAATTACTGCCCAGTACTAATATATAACTATATATTATGAGTAAACATACATGTGAATTAACTTTAAAAGTGAAGACTTACTTTCTATTGACAACGGCCCAATCTTCTGTGTAGGATCTTACACAATCTCTGACATGGAGATCGGTGTCCCTGCAAACAGACATGCATACAAAGTTTCTGTTAATACCACTGTAAGACTTCAAAATGTACTATTAAAAGGACTATAACAAAAGTTGAATCTTTAGGGTACATCCCACAGTCAGATGCACATATAGTGTTTGTGCAACCTCCTTTGAAATACCAAGATTTTGAGCTACAGCAAGTAGTAACCATAATGTCATACATTAAATGGTCTACTTGATGAGCAGAAGATGTTTTGTTGGTATATAATCTGTAATAACATTGAGGCATCCATGTTATTAGACATTACATTTTACAAACAAACGTTTACAGTGCAGTAATTTAGGATAGCAAAGGCCGCATCAGAGCAATTTGGAAAATTATTTGAAAAGACTTAGCACATGACATCACAAAACATCTGATCACTGCACATATGGTCTGACACGTTACCCTGCCTCCAAACTTGCTGACAGGATTCCTTTAACTCACCCTTCCTCTGGAACAGCTTGTACCACAGTGCGACACTCCCTGGGTGTAGAGATGACCTCAATGTCATCAGGGGGAAATTCAATCAGATCTCTTAGTGGACCTGACTCAACGATGGGAGGGTGCGTGATGAGATATTCCTCAAAGTCCACTGGTTCCACCGCCTCTGTGAGGGGAACCTGGTGGGTGAAGAGAACGAGTTAGATCAGATGCATGGAGAGAAAAGGGGAACATTTTCACATGTAGACGCTAAAGAAAGGAAACAAATTCAAATTCAAATATACTTTATTAATCCCAAAGGGAAATTATTTGTTGTTGTAACTTGTTATCCTCATTTTATTAAGAGATGTTGTAGATGCTGATGGCTGTAGGCAGGAAGGATCTCTTGTAAAGGTCCATCCCACAGTGGATCCTAAGAAACTGGCTGCAGATGCCGTCCGATCCGTCCACACAGACTCAGCTGGCCTCTCGGTTCCCCCGGGCTGTAGAACCGCCCGAATGCGAGGCAGAACTCCTCTCAGAGCGATGGCCACTCCTCCCAGCAGTCTGCCGAGCTCCTCGTTGCTGCTGACAGACAACTGTAGGTGTTGAGGGACGATCCTGTCCTTCCACTGTCATGAGCCATGTTTCCTGCTAGTTCCAGGATCTCAGTGATCAGGCACTCGAGCACAGCAGGCAGGTAGATGAGAATGCATCCACAGATTATCCTTTTCAACTCATTTTAGTTTTGGAGCTGTAGTTAGGATATTATTTGAGCTTTTGAGATGTTAATCAGCTGCTGTTGTTGTAGAAAACTGCCTTGTTGCCATGGTTACGCATCATAACAAATGTCCAAAACTAAAAAAAGTTTTAGTAAAAATCCTTCCAGCTGCACAGCATCCGATACCAGAGGAAACAATCATCCAAAAAAATGTGATTTACATCCAGAAAAAGAGTAATTAAAGTTTCCAAAAGCAAAATCTCGGAATGAAAGTAACAGAGCTGCTCCAACATGAGCGGCGCAATTCTAGAACTAGTTACGAGTCAATTACTGTACACAACATAAAACCACACAAAAACAAAATATGTGCTAGATGGTGTCAATTTACACTCGTGATATTTTTTATTATTAAAGATGTGAAAAACAATTCTGAGAGAAGCATGTCTGTTATTAACTGTCTTCAAGCATTTGCCTCATGGTGATACAAATAAGACTGTCAAAGGGGCTACCTAAAGAACAACCTAATGGTTTTATGGGTCTTTGCTTAAAAATGATAAACCCAAAGGGAATCCCTTTCAACAGTATAACTGTGTATGGGGTTTTATTAGTCCATCTCCCTCTAGAGACATCTAAACACCAACACCTTTCACAGTTTAATTACAAACCAACTGTAGCCTAATCAACAGGGGGAGCTTGTGCTTGAGCATGAGCTGAGGGCAGGAGCAACTGGCTCTAATGAACTCTTTAACAAATATACTGACTGAGTTAAAGGTAACCTTAAAATTATTTCAGCTCGGAATGACATTCCTCACAGCAATTATCATGACTTAAACATTAGCAGTGAAACATTTCAAAGAACCACAAATGTCCCTTAGAATAACATCTACATTCATACAAGCTTCAACTTTAGTTAACAAAATATGAATACATTTAGAAAAATAATGTGTATTTAATGTTTTAACTTGGGGCTCCCACTTTTTAGCTATGTTTTTATTTATTTGTGTGTATTGTCAGACATAAATGAGATGTTATCAGCTGAAAAAAAAGATTATTTGTTATGCACATTGGAATAGTTGTGCTGATTATTGGTTGAAGAGTGCAGGTTTAGGAGGAAAAACTATAAAGACTACACCTAATTTACTGGGTTAAAACTGCTTGAGAGTACTCACTGTGTTGCTTGATGTGGTCCCAACATTGAGGTTTTTGAAGAGCTGCGGAGAACCTCCATACTGACCAGCGATCTGCTTCCTAACCTCTGCTGCCACAGTCCTGCGGACAGGAAGAAAACAGAGTCAACATAAAAACTGTAGTTACTGACAAATGATCCAAACTCAGTGTGTTACTGTTCCAGCTGCAAAAATAAATATGCATTCACACAGTACAATTTTTCTGTAATGTACTGATATTTTTTAAAGTATTATACGGTAATCACATTTTTTGACACATACCGTGAAACTAAAGTACACATGCACCCTGAAAGCTAATCAGTGTCTGAGTTTGTGTTAATTCAATAAATAAAACTAAGGCACTTTCCATAGTTTAAGGGATAATACAAATTTAAAAAAAACTATTGCAACAAACAATAAAAGGCGTTATCTTAATGATATAAGCATAATATTCTGTGTGGTTTAGTAAAATAATCCAAACTGAGAAAATTAAACAATTATAAGTGTATTTTTTTAAGTCTCCAACTTAAAGCAATTGTTGATGTTGAACATTTTGCAAGATTTGCTAAAGTTAATTTGATGTTTAATTAAATCTATTACAAATTAATTTAAATGTATTTTAAAAATAAAAAAACAGAGTAGTATTTGCTGTAGAGTACTTAAAAGTATTGTTAACTTCAGTAACTTAGTTGTTATAATAGTGTGATTATAAACATGTTAATGCAACTCAAATTGCTCTGAATGTTAAAAGGCAAACTCACACTTAGATTTGAGCTCTTGTCTAATCACTTCTGTCAACATCACGTGCTAAACTGAACAAAACAAAATGTCAAAGGGAGAACAAAATAAGAATCCCCTGGTGCTTGGTAGCATAAAATTCTGGGTGTTCAACAGCTGCTGTGACCACATACTGGGCCTTTAAATCACAGGAACCACAGAAACCACTCAGAGACCTATGCCTTGAACAAAATAACATGGGAAGTAGTTCAAACTAAAACGACACAAAAAATAACAGATTGGAACCCAGGAAAAAGTTAATACATACAAGACATAAGTGTTTCATAAAACTTGTGTCTGTTCAGTTTTCATATTAAAAGCTGTGTCACAGCAACTTGTCTGAAAGTCATTTTAACCGTTTGACCAAGATTACGAACACTCCATGAGTCACTCTACAAACTGAGTTGTATTTCTTCCATCTTGTGTATCATGGATACAAACACTGGATATCTGAATGTATGACAAGGCTGTAAAACAGAGGCTTATCGTTTTACGCCAGAAAATGAAACGAAAGCATCATGATCCAATACGCCAGTCTCATGTGGGTGTGCTAATGTTCTGTAATAGAAGTCGAACGACCTCCGCAGAGAAGTGCTGTCGTTGCTGCAGAAAAGCAGAACTGACGAACAAGTTCCAGAGTCTCCCTCGCTGCCTCTTACAAAACATGTGGCGCTGCAAAGAGGAGTACCAGTACCAGTACCACAGGCTCTGTGGCTGCCACTTCAAGACATTAGCAACTTCCAGGAGCAAACTGTGATCCAACAATAACTAAAGATCACAAGAAAATTGTTAGGCTGGGATATTATCTAGGAAACGCTGCCTTTGTGTCATTGAGCTGCCTTAAAATGTGATACTGGCTACAAAATGTCCTTATCTACATGCTGAAGGTGACAGTTTTTTTCTACTACAAGAACAATTAATAAATCGTGCTAAACAATATCCACAAACTTTAGACTACGTGAGAAACGTAAACAAAAGTTTAACCTTTATTTTTCAGCCATGCCACTTTTGATAACAACCACACAGAGCAATCTAAAGCTCCAACCAACAACCAATATGTTTTGTTTTAGAACCAAGAATGGCACAAAAAAAAAAACACTGTGACAAATGACACAATGAAAAAGATATTTTCATGTCTGTACATCAGAAGTGGTTGTTTTTTCCAGATTGGTAACATCTGTCAGTATTTTGGGGACTTTCAGATTAGTTCTCCATTCATTTTGTTAGCATTTCCCCAACCTTCAGGTGTATTCAACAATTTTCAATCAGGTCATCTGGACAGTTTTTTGTTTTGGTGCTAAAGCGTTTCACCTTCCATCCAGAAGGCTTCATCAGTCAAGGAAACACACACAACAAAACTGATTCTTCCACCAACAGCTTACTCCAAAGTGGAACAAACCAGTTATGTTGGTGCTAAGATGGTCGCTTTGGCACACCCCCTCCTCCGGTGCTGGCCCTCTTCCTCATCGAAAGTCATATCAAACTGGTTCAAACCCAACAAAGTCCATGCTCAATAATCCAGGTATACAATCCAACAACATTTCAGCACAAAAAAAAAAGAAACTGTCCAAATGACCTGACTGAAAATCGTTGGATTGTATACCTGGATTATTGAGCATGGACTTTGTTGCTTCAGGTGTATCGTTTTCTTTTTTTCTGTGTGTGTGCTTTTGTACAGGAATGTTAAAACCTTAAATCTTTCCTATGCTATTTATTTTAGTTTAATTAAATTGATAAATGGAAAAATATACCATACAAAGTTTAAAGAATTTATGATTTACTTTTTCATTTTCTGCAGGTATGATCATTATTATGACACTTGTTTCTGGCTGTGTACTGACAATCTGATATTGCTGTAGCTAAATTCAACCTAATCACAGCAGCCGAATTACCAATAACTATTAGGCCTGGGGTATCCAAACCTGGTCTTTGAGGGCAATCCTGCTTGATTTAGACGTTAATCTGCTCCAACACAACTGATTTGAATCAATGACATTAACAAGTGTCTGCAAAACGTGAAGAAACAATTAACCATTGACTCAAGTATGTTGGAGCAGGGAAACCAGTAAAACATGCAGGATAGTGGCCCTCAAGGATCAAGATTATATTGTTGTGACAAAACTGCTATTACACTACAATTAACCTATTCTGTTGTAAATACCCCATTAGGCAATTCTACATTGCCCAGTTCTAATAATTTGTCTTGCAAATAAACAAAAATATAATTAATACAATATGCCATGATCCTGACATCAACAAAAAAAAATAAGACAAAACACTAATAACTTCTACTTCAAAAGGTGAAAATACCAACAACAGACATTTTATAAAATTAGATTAGTAAATTTAAGACATGGACATTAGAGTTTCGAAATAAAATGTGATTTTAATGTCTGGAGGATTTATTAAAGTATAAACTGGGATGGAGCAATCTGACAGCTTGACAAAGCCCTTTGTTAAGGAGATTACTTAGATTTGTCTGAAGAGAGGAAAGAAGATTATAATCAGTGTTTGATTTGACTAGAGAGGAATATTTATTTCAGGTTAAATGTTTTCTCCTGACAGTCTTTCTTTTTAACATAGCTGAATAAAAATAAAAAGTTCAGTCGCATCCCCAGCGTCAGTATTTGTAGCTTCCCATCGTTAGCATCTGTGGACCAGACAGCTAACCGTCCATAAATTACATTTTGAATTTACTACATTTAATTTATTCGGGTTTGGGACCGTACGGAAACCCGTTTTCTTGGTGCCAGTATGGGTTCATGGATACAACCATATCAGGCTTTTGTTAGCTTTCAGTGGAAGAGCAGCAGTTGTCTGTCTGGGTGGGTCTGAGCATCTCTGGCGCTACAGCTAACGAGCGGCTAGCTCGGAGAGAGAGGAGCCAAGCTGGGCCTCCCCTCACGGGGCTTCCCGCAGCGGTGGTCTCCGGGCGACCCACGAGCGAAACAGCGTTCATTCACCGAGCTCGTTTCAGACGTCTCAAGGCTTTACCTGCTGATCTTTTGGGCGAATGCGCGGCGTTCAGCCATGGCAGTGGCTGCGGATGTGCTTTTATCAGATTCCCAGGCAGGCAGGCTCTCCACTCACACACACACAACCACAGGGAAAACCGGAGAATGGGAGCATTGCCGTAAAGGCTGTAATACGGCGCAACAGAACGCACCCAAGAAAAAGCTTGTGCGAAATGTTTTAGCAAATATATTTTAGCAAATATGAAAAGCCCATTTCGTAATGTGTCAGTCTTTCTAAAATAATGTAACTTTAAAGCAAATAAATATTCTTACTGACAAGAGATGCACATGCTAAAACAAACTAGTTTTGTGTCCTTTAGATGATGCTAAATAAACTCAACGAGACAATCAGTACAATTAATCTTGCATGTAGATTTGGTGCGTTATAAGGTTTACGGTAGAGTACGTTTGTTTATATTTATTTGTTTAAATTCTGTAATGTGTGTCTACGGAACACACTGAAGTCGAAGAAAAAAACTAACTCCGCCCGCTCGGGCTACCTTGGCTTAGTAAGTCAATGTTTGTTATTTTTGGTTCTTGTCGGAAATATCGCGAGATCACCGGACTTGCCGCTTCATTTCCTGAAAGCATAAACATTGGTACTCGCAGTGTAATGTAAAGTTAACACAGTTGGTTATAAGAGAAAATTATCGCATTATGTTACGTTTAAACTTGAGCACAACCCAGCGGGTGGTCTGTGACAAAGAGACAGCTGGACTGAACAAGGGTTAAGGTATCGAATTCGTTTACTTAAAGACGTATTTTCATGTAAACTCCTTCATGACAGTGATTTTAAGCTGTTTGTGTTCGTTGTGTTTCCACCAGGTTTGTGTTGCTGTGTGGGAATGGGTTCTTTCCATCGCTGTTTCAAATGGAGAATCAAGGGAGCGACGAGGTGGAAAAACTGAAGACAAAGTTCATGTCAGTGTGGAACAATGTGAAGTACAGTAAGTTGTTTGCTTCAGGCTAAAAACACTCTTAGAGGCAGTCCGTACTGCGCATGCTCAATCTTTATTGCTTATTTTAAAACGTGTCCCCAAAACAGTAATTTCTCTGCAAAGTATGAAACGCCTTGTTGTCTAAATTGGTTTTATACGTCTTATTTGTAGAAATCAGTGGCACTGTGAATACACTAAATCAGAATGGTGCCAGAATTTAGACAGAAGCCTGCTGCAGTTGAATCAGTCCTTAAAATAGTTATTTGTCATACTGTCAAGACTAGTTGGTGGAAAGCATAACATTGTTTCTTGTTCTGGTTCTGTGCATGTAAAGACTGTACTTACTGTGTTTTTATATGACTAAAGAAGGGGGGAAAATGTTGAAGACAGGCAGGTAAAAATGGCATATCCACCTTTGTAGGTGTGCCACCTGATCAAATAGAATAATTCAAAGCCCCTTTTAAAGCTGTCAGCCTTAATGCATTGTCCATTTATTGTGTGTTTTAGGTTGGGTTCTCAAATTCAAGACTTCATTCAGTAGAAATTCCCCTGTGTTTCTTCTGGGGAAGTGCTACCATTTTAAGGCTGAAGGTAAGATGAGTTACATATGAGCCATATATTTACACTGACTACATTACTTGACCTCAGCATACTTGTAGAGTTAAGTCTATAATTATACGTTTTGTGCAACTTTCTTTTGCAAACTTTGAGGGTGGAATACCTTTTAATCATTAGTCTTGCCTTGTGGAGATTTTGTGTTAACTGGACTTTGCTTTAGGCGAAAAGTGTTGAGAAAGTTCTCTGTTAACAATTTATTGACAGTTTTACCTGGTTGTTTTGTAATCATTGTTTCTGAAAAGTATTGCAGAAAGAGACATGTCTCTGAATTGTCAAATGACTCCTGAAATTTAATGCTATCTTTTTTTTTTTTTTTTGCAATGATGTTTACTTTGTTGTTATTTAGTTTATTAGCTGATGTGGGAACTGTATTGTTTAAGTTGACAGTTTCTCCTCTCTTTTTTTACTGAAATCTTTTTTTACTTTATTTTTTTACAATTTATGACAATTCCTATCCAAAAAAAAAAAAGATTATTTAAATCATTCCTTTTGGTCAGGCAAGCTTTGTTCAGATGAGTGTAATTTATTTTGCATTACATTCATATTATATTGGAATTATTATGATTAAAAAAAGATGAGGTTCATTTAAAATGTTTAGAACAGACATGATCTATTCTTCCCCCCAGACGATGACTGTCTAACTGAAGCCTGCTCTGAAGCCTCCGATGAGGACTTTGCCATGGGAAACGTGGAAGCTTTCCGAAAGGATTTTGCTTCCCGTGTGTGGCTGACATACCGGGAAGAGTTTCCTCCACTGCCGGGAAGCACCCTGATCTCTGACTGTGGCTGGGGCTGCATGCTAAGAGCTGGACAAATGATGCTGGCTCAAGCTCTTGTTCTGCACTTCTTGGGCAGAGGTGAGGTGAAAAATGATACAGCAGAAGAGCTACAGAATTAAACAGATGTGAAAACATTGAAGTTGAAACGTGATCTAGATGAGTAGGTTAAATTGATTGTAGTTTTAGGACAGTTTAATTTGTGAAATTGTTAGTAAAATAAAAACAAAAAACAGACAGAAGTTTAAGGTTTTGTGCCTAAGAGCTGGCTTATTAATTGGAAATATGTAGGAAGAGCCAAATTATCTGAATAAGTTTGATCTTAAATAAATTAAACAACTGCTGCTAAAATGTGTAAACTTGCTCGTGGGATTGTTCAGTTTTGCTGTTGTTGTTTTTTTTTTTTCTCCACTGTATGAATGGTAAAATTAGGAAACTGATTAATCAAAACAAAAAGCGGAAGATCATATTAAGTTAGCTTATTTAAATAATTTTAGAATGAGCTGAAACTTTTAATTGTTCCTTCCTGATGTAAATAGGAACGAAGTCTCGTTTCCAGTAAAAGTTTTTGTACGTCCTAAGCTTAAACAGTTTAATTTAGTTGACATTTGAACCAACAAATTCTTTGTTTTTGTAAGATTCATTGTCTCCAATGTTCAAGACTTCTTGAGTCAAAATAAGGACATGACTGTCCAATGCAATCATTTTAAAATGTAATATTTCAGGCTTATTTGTTCCAATCTGAACTATCTACTTTATTTAACATTTATTGATCAATTTCAAATTTGATTCACTTTGAATGAAGGTCATTTTTTAACACCTCAGGCTTTTTTCTGACCTATTTTGTTGCTCTGACCGCTCCCACTCCGCTTTTAGCTCCCACTCTGTAAGGCTGAGACTTTTTAAAAAATGAAATGGTACAACACTCAAACATTCTAGTTGAACAGCAGGACTTCTAATCTGTTTCTGAAATGCACAAATGTTCAGGCTTTTAAACGAAATTTTGCTTCTAATTCCAAGGTCTGCACAGCCTTTTATTTGATCACTTTAAAAGGGAAGTAAGATGTGTTGCCGTGTCCGGTTCAGTAAGCCGAGGAAAACTGGCCTACATTTTATAATGACAGATGTCAGGTTTTAAAACTTTCCCTTTTTTCAGTAAAAATAGTGATATGCAGCCATACTATCTGTAATAAGTGTTGCGATGTTGTTCGCATAGTTCAGTTCAATTCGTTTTATTTATATATTTTTCTGCTGTACAGCACTTCGGTTGGCCTTGTTGCTGTTTTAAGTGCTCTATAAATAAAGTGGCATGGTATGGTACGGTATGGTATATAGCACCAAGTCACAACAGAAGTCATCTCAGGACACTGAACAAATGCTTGTCCAGTCCCCCCACCCTTAATGTCTAGTTTACTTGTATTTAAGTGTACTTTAAAGCCCTTCTGGTGTTAGCAAAATGGCCACAATGTCTTTTGAAAATTTCAGATCTTCTTTAATGAGTAAACGTATCTAATATAGCAGCTTTTTTTCTTTTTCTTTCGGCTGCTCCCTTCTTCAGGGGTCGCCACAGCAATCGAACTCGCACAAAGACTTGAACAAGGGCAATTATTATTATTATTATTATTATGGCAATTATTTTTACACCAGATGTCCTTCCTGACACAACCACAGCCCTCTGTGTGGAGCAGGGAGCTGCTATCTAGGGTGCCCAGGGGCTCAAGGCCCCAGAGTGGGTCAAATGAGGGTGGACACAGGTGTGGTTGTTTCATCTTTCACACCCATATTTTATGTTGGTCCGGGGAGTTGAACCGGAGACCTTCCGATCACAGGCCCACCTTCTCTAACCTCTGCGTCACCACTCCCCCCATAACTAATATATCAACAAAGACTCTATATCATTTTATGTTAAAATGTGGTCTTCATTATTTTTATGTACCTTGAAATGGAAAGGATGACAAAAATATCACAAACCACATCAGAAAATGTAGAAATTTCATTCTAAATTGGTTTTGATGAAATTGTAGTATTTTTATTTTTTTAATGGCCTCTGATTAAAGTTTTCCAAAAAAAAAAAAAAAGTAATTGTACATGTAGATGAATATGCAGTTCTGCGTGTCTGCAACATGAACCGTTTGAATTGAGTTCTTTGAACAGACTTACTGTAAGTGTTTAATACGCAGAATACGTTTTGTTTGCATTACATCTGAGATATTTTGAAGAGAAAAAAATGACACCCATCTCAGATTTTCATGGCACGTTCATGTATTTAGTAGCAACAGGTTAGGGCTTGATTTTGAGGCCGTGTAAAAAAACAAAACAACCAATGAATGTTTTAATGGAATATAAACTCAAACTGATTTCCCTTCTGAGTAACCCGACCTATCCCTGCTTGTTTGTGTGCAGACTGGACCTGGCCAGAAGCGCTCACACTCCAGCCTTTGGACACAGAGACACGGACCACAACTGCAGCAAAGCGTCTCGTTGCTTCACTGGAGGCTTCCCTGCAAGGTTCCCCCAGGTCCTCTGATAGTGAACCACCTCCTGCACCTCACGTCCAAGCCCAGGGATCGGCAGAGGAGGCAGAAGCTCATTTGAAGGAAATGTACCACTGCACCCTGGTGTCCTGGTTTGGGGACATGACCTCAGCTCCACTAGGCCTACACAGACTCGTCTACTTAGGACTGACACTGGGAAAACAGGCAGGTGACTGGTATGGTCCAGCTGTGGTAGCACACATCCTCAAGTAAGCTTGTTTTTTTCTCTCTCTCTTTTTAATTAATATAATGAGTTTTTAGTCGCTCATCTTAATGAAGTATACAGTTTATATTAAGTTGTAATGTTAAAATTAAATGGAATGTAATTTACATTATCAGTCAATCTAAAAACAAAAAAATGATGAGCAAACTGCTAACTGATGTTGGTGCGTAAAAAAGTCTACCGGTAATAAACCTCGGAAATCAAAACAAATACAGAACAATATTAAATTATTACCATACTTAAAATGAAAATATAACCTCCAAAAGACAATATATTTCTTCCTTTAAATGTGCACTTTACACAGATTTTATAAAAGTCATGACATTTTAAATGTCTAGGCCTTTTATGAAGCCTGAGTCTGTCCTCTTTTTGGAGACCAGATGTAATTTACTGCATAATTGGTTGTATAAAATGTATAGTTATTATGGAGATGAATAAAATGTGTTTAATGGCTGTGTAGTTTTTTGTCATTTGTACCTGACGAACATTGTGAAAATAGATAACAAAAGAAGCATCAATCAAACATTTCTTTTGTTGGAGATTTGTGCTAAAATAAACCTTATAGTTTAAATTGCCTATATTTTTAATTCAAACTTGGCTTTCCAACTCGGTTTCCTTCCTTCCTTACGTTTTTGCCCTTTTCTTTTAGGAAAGCTGTCAAAGAAGCGAAGGAGCCTGGCTTGAGGGGTATAACTGCCTACGTCTCTCAGGACTGCACAGGTATAAAAGTTGATCCTACTGTTGATAAAACCAGATCCTGGGCTCAGCACCTGGAATTAATTCTCTGTTTTTCTGTTGCTGTGACACTCAAGCTGCTTTTTTAAAATCTATAACATCTCGCTTCACCTTCCATGTCCTCGGTGCTGGTTCATGCTGGCTGTTTCTTATTAGAAGTGTTGTGTTCGTTATCGTGAGGTAAAACTAAAATGTATTATTTTTTTTATTCATGGGCATGTCAGTTATCGTTTTTATTGCCCAAAGGTGGATGATTTGTCGGTTAGCAAAATATATTGTGAACTACCAGATGAATTTTAATGAACCTCTCAGAAAAAAGAAAAATCACTGAGTGTACAGCTCAGCCATAGCAGCTAAACAACTTTAGCGAGCACAAAAATTAGCAAAACCGCCAGTTTTACAGATTTGAAGTTGAAATTGGGTTTGGTTGTAGCCGAGAGTCGTCCAACATATACACCAAGCGCATTTATTTATTTTCACATTTTGTAACTGTATATTCAAATTTGACCGTTTGGTTTGCTTTTTAACAGGCAAATATGTTGATCTACTTTTTAAAAAATTTGCTTTATAATTAAATAGATTTCGCTTGACTGCATTTCCAGTTAGTGCAGCTTTGTGGACTGAGCATGCTCACAGAGATAAAATGGTCTCAAGTGCGTTCAGAGGACAAAATATTTTACAGGAAGCAATTTGAAAATGGAAGTGAGGAAAAAAAATAGCAAAATCTTGTTATTTAAAATTGTCAGAATGAACATTACACATTAAGTAACGCCCACAACATAATCCTATTGGCGCAAGTAATAATTATACAATTTGGCTCATTTTTTGAGAAGTAAATGTCTTATTTTCAGAAACAATAAAAAAAATTGCTGGGGCCTGTGGCTCTGGAGGAAAAGTAGACAACTACCATCTATGTATCCTGGTGCATGCTCAATAATCCAGGTAAAAAAAAAAAATCTTAAAAAGTTAAATCTGGTCCTCTGGAGATTCACAAAACAAAGCAAAACAACAACAACAAAAAACATCTATGTAGTTGCTGTGTTGGTTCAAGCTTTCCCCACCACAAGACTCCCTTCAGGACTCCCTGAAAGAAGAGATGCTTTATCTCAATGGGATCTTCTTCGATTAGGTGCAGCGTCTGCAGTGTAGTGGGCGCTGTACCGGTCTGTCGTGGTGACGAGAGAGCCGAGTCAAAAGGCGAAGCTCTCAATTTACCGGTCGATCTACATTCCTACCCTCATCTATGGTCATGAGCTTTGGGTTGTGACTGAAAGAATTAAGTTTTCTCCGCTGGGTGTCTGGGCTGTCCCTTAGAGACCGGATGAGAAGCTCGATCATCCGGGAGAGACTCAGATTAAAGCCGCTGCTTCTCCACGTCGAGAGGAGCCAGTTGAGGTGGCTCGGGCATCTGGTTAGGATGCCTCCTGGACGCCTCCCTGGTGAGGTGTTCCGAACACGTCCCACCAGGAGGAGACCCAGAGGAAGATCCTGGATGCGCTGGAGGGACTATGTTTCTCTGCTGGCCTGGGGACGCCTTGGGATTCTCCCAGAGGAGCTGGCCCAAGTGGCTGGGAGAGGGAAGTCTGGGCCTCCCTACTTTACCCCCACAACCCGACCCCGGATAAGCAGAAGAGGATGGATGGATGGATGGATGGATGGATGATGGATGGATGGATGGATGGATGGATGGATGGATGGATGGATGGATGTTCCTAGATTAATAAAGTAAGACAAAAACTGGACTACCCTTCTGATGCATAAAGACACATCCATATGTGTTTGTGTGTTTGGTTAACCTTTGTGTTGATCCTTTGTAGTGTACAGTGGCGACGTTGTGGACTGCCACAAGGCTCCCACAGCAGGAGACACCCCTACTCTAACGCTGAACGGCCACCGAGCTGTCATCATCCTCATCCCTGTGAGGCTGGGAGGAGAGAAGACAAACCCCGAGTATTTTGACTTTGCAAAGGTAGAAACTACAGTTTTGTCTTGGGAGTTTTTAAACTCGTTTGTCTCAATAACGTGTATAATAACAAAGCTGTTTGGGGATTCGACTGGGTTAAAGTAAGTCAAAGTAATTAACTTTAAATGTTAAGTATTCACAGTAGACAAACAGTTCGTTTAAATGTCTGTATCAAAGTAATTTGAATAAATTAAGTAAGGTGCCAAATGTAAGTAATCCTCAGTCGTTTTGTTTACTTCTCTTCATTTAGAGCATACTGAGTCTAGAGTACTGCATAGGCATCATCGGAGGAAAGCCCAAACAGGCCTGCTACTTTGTGGGATTTCAAGGTGAGTATTAGCATAATGCGAAACCGAAAAAGACACACACATACACACAGTTTGGCGTGAATAACAAATTATTTTTGCATAATATACCCTTCGTATGTGTGGAGACAAAGTAAGTTAATGTATTCGTGTTTGCGTGAGGAAAACGAAGAGGAGTGAAGATGAAAGCAAGCGAAGCAGGGCTTACTTTATTCTCTCTGACCCATCAAAACCTCGCCCATTTATCACACGCAAACCTCCCAAGTTGTAAACTGTAATTGATTTCCATAGGAGGCATGCGTTAAATTTTACCCAGGCCTCCAAAGTGAGCCACTCTTCATCACCTTCAGGAGCCAGGAGGAACCTTCAGTTGTACATCTTGGCAGTCAATATTTACTCATTTACATTTTACCAATTTGAAATACAGTGTTGGATGATGTCTAAATGGCAAGCAATACATTCTCCCTGCCAGGCCGCAGCTCAGCGCTGCATTCATCATATGCAAATGATCGAATATAATTGCATGTTTGTAAAAGTAATTCCCCCACACAAAAATTAAATGACAACCTATTTTCTTGTGGGTGTAAAAAATGTGCTTGAACAAACGCATTTGATTATGTAGAATTTAATCCGGCCTGGTAGATATTAAAAAGCAGCAACCTTCTGGGAGGCATATTTGACGCTTGCAACCCCAACAGTAAGCCGGGCGAGTGACTTTGAGCTACTCTGCATACATATTGAGGAGAAAAGCTTCTTTTTTTTTTGTGATAATCTGATGGTTTTGAATAACTTGTCTTCTGTTTTGTCCTTGCAGATGACAGCTTGATTTACATGGACCCTCATTACTGTCAGTCTTTTGTGGATATCAGCACCAGCGATTTCCCCCTCCAGGTAATGTAAAATTACAGATCGAGGCTCCTGTATTTGTTAGTATTTAGAGGCGTGAGTCCGATCTGCTGAGTTATTTGCTGCCACGTAAAGAAATATATATTTTTTATTTTCGTTTTCAGAATTCATACATAAAAATAAAACCAAACACTTGATAGAAACTTTGTTTAGTGTTTTGCATGTCATGGCTTACAATGTTTGAACACCAGGGCAGAAAATGTGTGGGCGCCTTGACAGCAGACAGGATTATTTTCATCAAATGATGCATTTTTGAGGCATGATGCATCATGAGATGATGCAGGGGCGGCTGTGGCTGAGTGGTTAGCGCAGTCATCCTCCAAGAGTTGGGGGTTCGATTCCACCAGCAGTCACATGTTGAAGTGTCCATGGGCAAGACACTTACTGAACCTCTCATTGCCTCTGATATGTGTCCTATCAGTGTATGAATGTGATAAAGCACTGATTATTCTTCATAAGTGCTGTATGGATGGGTAAATGAGGGCACAGATTGTAGTAAAATGCACTTTAAGTATCTTGAGAATATAGAAAGGCGCTTTATAAGTGCAGTCCATTTACCATTTTTGCCTTTTATGTTTGTTTAACTCTGTTTAAATGCTCAGTTTGGTAAATGTTTCAATTGTACATTTCTATTCTTGTTTAGTCATATCATTGCCCATCACCAAAGAAGATGCCTTTCAGCCAAATGGACCCAAGCTGCACTATTGGCTTTTATTCCAGGAGTATTGAAGATTACGAGAAAATCAGGGAAGAGCTGTCCAAGGTAAAGAAATCTGCTGCGACACAACAAAAATACCTTTTTTAATGCTAATATCTTATTGTAAATATTTAGACATAATAATAATAATGTATTATTATTATGTATGTATGTATTATTGTTGTTGTTATAACACCACTGCATATTCTTTTCATTGTGGCAGTAATTGTGTAAATTCAGTTGACCAGTAGGTGGCAGCATTTAGCTATGAATCTGCTTGATTTCTACTGTCTTTGTCATTGTTGCATAAATCTCTCCCTTCTTCAATTATTATCATGTCCACCTAAAGTGCATCTCTCTCTCTTCATTGATGAGTGTAATTTGCATCCATAAACTGAGTACACATGTCGTAATCTCCAAACAAAAATTTTTGTTCCGCTGCTGTTTTAGTTGCTGCAGCCGTCCACAAAGGAGAAGTACCCGGCGTTCACTTTCATGCAAGGTCACAGCAGAGATTATGACCTGTCGGCAGGCCTCAACCCAGAGAAGCTAGAGTGGCCGTTTCTTCGAGGCGCTCAGAGAACAGTAACCACTTCTGGGGACTTTGTGCTGCTTTGACAGCTCAGTTTATTATAAGTGCAGAAAGAGATTATTCCTTTGTAGCGACTGGAGTTGCTTGAAGTCATGTTCGGACACACAAACCATTCATTTACCGAACCTTTCACAACTGCAGTAATTCAGTTTTTACTTCTTGGAAATAATTTTCCCGGACAAAACTGGGATTGCACGCTGAGATTTTTGTGGCCTGGCAAAGTGAACGCACTGGATAATCTGAGGAAGCCATTTGACATCGTGTGCAGCTCCACTGAATCTAAATTCCTTAATGTAGCCACATTAAGAAACATATTACACGCTTTGCATCAGAATTTGTATTTTCTAGTAAATAAATTTAAAACAAATTTTGTTAAATGAGCATATAATTTTAGCTTTCAGAAGAACTTTTGGTTGTTTTTGTTTTGTTGCAAATGAAACTCCTGGTGTTTTTATTTAGCAAAACTGTCATTGGAGAAAACTGCAACCAAGCTTGTTTTAAACCTTTCCAGAGCTTTGCAATGTTTAAAAGTTTAATCAAATATGCAAATTCAAATTAAAAGCAGAATTTAAATCCGAATGCAGCTGAAAAGTTGTTAGCAAAATGTTTGTGTTGTCACTGAGCAGGCAGGTGACAGCAGACATAAAACAAAACAAGACTTTTACGTCCTGCTTCAGCTTTAACTTGACATAATCTGCCGTAAATTAAATATAAGCCCATTCAGGAATGATTATTAATTCACAATTATAAAACATGATTATAAATCAAAGAACATTTTTATAAATAAGACTAATTCTGTTTATTTATTGGTCCAGATTCTTCAAGACCTATGTCACATAAACGTTTATTGAAATTATATGGCTTAAAAGTTGCCCTAAGGGCCTCATCTACAGTGCATATAATCTATCATTTAACTCAAGGGGACACAGTAAGCACTTTAGTGGAATAAGGGCTGTTTGAACTTTTTCAAACTTCCCCAATAAGAACTTTTTTTTTTAGTCTCAATGACTTTCCGATAATCTTTTGAACTAATGGCTTATGGTGTCAAGTGCCATGTATCTCACAATGCAGCCAGTGTTTTCATTTATTTCATCATGTGCTTATCATTTCGAAGTCGAAACATAAAATGAACTTAAATCAACTTTAGGAGTTTGTAACGTAAAGTGAGATGCCAATATGTTTAATGTCAAATTATTATTAACACAAATTTTGTCGTTTGTTTTAGCATTTTTATAAGTATTTTTCACACAAAGGTGATTTTCTCTTAACATTTATTTTGGTCTTGGACACATTTCCTGTTTTTGTTTTCCAACAGTGAGAACTTAAAACCCTGTCACTTTGCAATAGTCACAAATTAACAAATGTTATTGAACATGAAGTTTAAAAGAGGATGGGCCGGACTCCAAACCTCAGATGAGCACTTTTATTCATCACTTAAACACTGTAAAAAGAAATCTGATTTATGTACATGTTTTTATTTACACAGCAACGTGTCTGTTAATTTAACCTACATGAATCCTCAGTAACGTATTTTAATGTGTTAAACAAAAAAAATATAAATAAAGTATTTCGTTTAAATCAGTTTGTATCCGTTTGTATCAGTTTTTTAGGCCGATCGAAATTTTTAAAACTGCTCTTGGAGGGGGTGGGGGGGGGGATAAATAAATAAAATATTTACTTCATTTTCAGTTATGCATGGAAACCTCCGTGGTGTGTTGAAATAAATTCAATTCTTCCCAGTCCAATGTAGAAGATTAAAACTAATCGTACGTGCTAACCATCTCTACAGCCCATTAACCAGGAACTGGGAAAACATGTGACCCGATGACACTGGCAGCAGTTGTGTTCCTGTAGGGAGGAAAAGAAAATATCCTTGTGTGCAAAGCTCTGTTACCATAGATAATCTGCCTGTTGCCCCCCTCTGGTTTAAGCTATTCTAGACCAAATTTCTGCACAATACAAATTCTTGTATTATGATGAGCTGCGCTTTTTAGAGGAAGAATATGTCCCTTCTGCATGGGATCAGGGCCAAGGGTGAGATGGATGGACAGACGGAGGAAGAATCCCTCATCTGTTCTCTTTTCTGTCATGGAGAAGCAGTGTCTCGGCACATAAAGGCATCCTTTAGATCCCCTCCGTCCATTTCCTTTTCTCTTTTTCTTTTTGGCTTAGCAACAGTGTAGACAGAGCGGGAACATAGAATATGCAAAAGCAAAGCATCTACAGAGACATTCTTATGTTTGAGAGTATGAAAGGACTCGGGTGGACAGGAGGAGATGTGACATTTGGGATTTTTGACAGAAACATGACAGAAGCGTCTGTGCTCGGGGCCACAGGGTGTTCTGAGGGTTGACTTTGTTCACCATGTATTTACAGGGATGCATGAATATTTGATTAATGAGTCACCGGCTCGGGGGAAATGTAATAATGCGATAAACAAGCGGTGACTTTACAAAGCAAGTCGATCGCACACAGGCGCGCTGCTGTTTAACGCAGCTGCTTCACGTGCCAGTGGCGCTCCTTATTCCAGAACATCTAATCTGTGTTCAAGCAAATTCTTCACAAAATGAGCTCATCATCCAGTAGATGCATCTAAAAAATTAGTACATTATGAAAAAGTTACATGTTTTGTCAAACATTTCTGAAAGTCAAACTCGTATTCATGCAGAGTAAAATATTTCAAGGCTTTATTTCTTGTAATTTTTGATGACTATGGCTTACAAATGAAGAAAAACCATAATTCACTGTCAGAAAATTAGAATATCGTGAAGAGGTTTAATATTGTAAAGTCCTGGTGTCGCACCCTGATCAGATGATTAACATGAGCTGCAAATGTCTCGTTCCTCACGTCGAGCCACTCCTGAACCAGAGACGTCAGAAGCGTCTTACCTGGCTGAGGTGAAAAAACTGGATTGTTGCTCAGTGGTCCAATGTCCTCTTTGCAGATTAAAGTAAATTCTTCATGTCGTTTGTAAATCAAGGTCCCAGAGTCTGGAGGAAGAGTGCAGAGGCCCAGAATCCACTTTGCTTGAAGTCCAGAGTGAAGTTTCCACAGTCAGTGATGGTTTGGGTTCATGTCCTCTGCTGGTGTTGGTCCACTTGGTTTTCTGGAGACCACCGTCAACGCAGCATCTACCAGGACATTTTAGACACTTCATGCTTCCGTCGACGAGCTTCATGGTGATGCTGAGTTCATTTTCCAGCAGGACTTACCTCGTACCAAAAGCTGGCTGTGGAATATTCTAACTTTCTGAGACTCTGAACTTTAGTTTTTCATTATTTCTAAGCCATAATCATCAAAATGACAAGAAATAAAGGTTTGAAATATTTCACTGTATGTGTAATGAATCTGTAATATACGAGTTTCACTTTCTGAAATGACGAGCAAAACAAGTGAATATTTTCACAATATTCAAATTTTTTTTAGATACACCTGTATATTTCATTAAGGGCTGGATAGATAGTTTAGAGGCAGGTTAAACAGTTTTCGACAGAGCTGCACAAAAATTTTTTTATTCCTTCATTCATCTAAGCTCTTTCAGCAGAAAAGTGGATCATACCTTTAAGGCGGTAACTAATAAACTGATGACATCCTAAAAGTGCAATAAGAACGAAGATCATTGTCATTTTTCAAATCAAGCGAGAGATCTAAAAGCAACCAGATGAATGTTGCTTCCAGGATAAACTGTTAGTCATTTTAGGAGAATTACTCTAATAATAATAAATAAAAAAGTATAATAGAAAATGCACTCACTGCATTTTTTTGCCCAAGTTTCAACCCAAGATCATTTTGTAATCAAGGTAAAACCCTTTTGCTCAAACATGTAAATCGTGTTGTGCTGTTTTGTGAGATCTTGTAAAATCAGTTTGCACTTGAGCCGTGTGTTTTTCGACAACTAAACAAACTAAACTACCACATTAATATTAGTAACACTCAGTATTGATAAATCTAAGAAATAGCAGTGTAGTCTTAAGTGCTGTGACATCTTGAATTGGAGCGACAATAAAAGCTATTATGTCGTAGATGTACATCCTATGATTATTTTGTGAAAGTTTCATTAAAGTTTGCAGTGATTAAAGAGATATTTTGCTAACACGACAAATAAACGCACGCAAATAGAGACTGGCATGGCTAAAAACACTTGCTCTTTCACCTTTGATGATGAGAAGCTGCCCACCTTCCAGACCAATAATCTCAGCAAGCAATTATACATAAACCTAAGCTTCATGCATGCAAAATTTAAAAACCCTAATAAACATAATGCTTTTTAACATGCGAAAAAACCAACATAAAGCTGTCTCGTCTTTTATTTTCCCATAAAATTTGAATTTCTCTGATTTAAAAAAAAAAAATAAAATAAAAAATTCTCCATCCACGACCACACAGTGATGGATGACTTCAAAAACGTCCAGTAGAATTGCATCCAACAAAACGTGAAACGTAACAAACTATTTGTGCATCTGTGCCTGAGGCTGTAGAGGGCGAAAACGTGATGTCTTTTTCCATTTTTCATTTCTAAGGCGAGTGTAAATTTACATGGATGAATGTGTAGTTTACACATGTACAGCTTGTGTGTTAGACATTCTAAATCTTAGGTGTCACAATCCCTCCCTGCCTTCACACCAGGTGCAGGGGTGTTAGATTTATACCCAGTAGCCCTTGCCCACCCTTGTGGAATGCCATGCATCTTCAAACAGGTACTTCACTTTGAAATCTCATCTCGGCGTGATCTCTAGGCGGCTAAATATACCAAGCTCTCGGGTCCTGCAGCCGTCGGAGCGTACATACCGCCTGTGCTGCATCAGACTTCATAGTCTCTGGTCTGTCCATGCAACTGTCCACTTGTCTCCACCCGTCTCCTACAACTCCACTCGCCCCCTCAACGACAGCTTCTGGAGAAGTGCTGAGGCACTGCATGCCAAACACATTTCTGGGCTGAAGCCAGACAAATGTCGCGATGCTGTGATTGATCAGCACCACACAAGACTTTAAGGGCATTCTACCCCATGAACATGACCTACAGCACACGGGTCAGAGGTTCTTCA